GCTTATGCACCCCTATGTTCATTGCAGCATTATTCACTATAGCCAAGAATTCAAAGCAACATAAGTGTCCCTCGACTGACAACTGGATCAAGAAAATGTGGTACATATATACAATGGAATACTACTCAGCCACAACAAAAGACAAAATCGTCCCATTTGCAACAACATGGATGGGCCTGGAGGGTATTATGTTAAGTGAAGTAAGCCAGAAAGAGACCGACAAACACTGTATGATCTCACTCATATGTGGAATACAAACCAACACATGGACAGAGAAAACTGTATTGTGGTTACCAGGGGCAATGGGGGTGGGGGTGGGCACAAGGGGTGAAAGGAGATATATATATATGGTGACGGACAAACAAAAATGCATAACCCAAAATTTCACAATGTTATAAACTGTTAAAACATCAATAAAAAAATAAACAAATAAAAATAATTTTTAGCATATGTGTGTCCCAAATATTGCATGCAAATTTAACTGGTGTCTTGTATTTTTATTTGCTATATCTGGCAACTCTATTTTCAGACTAAAGAACACAGAATTCCTCTTCGGGGAACCTGACTGGCCCAGGAAAGGAACTTAAGGATACTAACATTAAGGGGTTTTCAACAAAATCACAGATCCTTACCTGATCACACATACATTCTCCATAGGAAACAGAGTTTCCTCTACAATTTACTCAAATCCTAAGACCCACAAGTAAAAGAAACATACCATTTTTTTTAATTTCCCAAAGTAAAACAAGTAAGATATTTTCTAACTTTGAATAAATATAGTGAAATGTGATATTTAAATAAAACAATGGACATAAATAGAGCAAAAATCCAAGAACTATTAAAATGTGTAATATTTCACCTTTAATGTCTTCAAAGAAGAATTAACTGCAATTTTGGCCCTTTTTTTTTTTGGCTTTTATTTTTTAATTTTATATTTTCATAATCCTGGAGTTTAAAAATCATATTGTTTATCCAAAGGATTTTTAAGTGAGATTAATTCATCAATATACTAGTATTATAGTAACGAAAAGATAGCAAAGAACATATGTGTTAAAATATTCCATGTGGGGGCCGGCCCGGTGGCGCAAGCAGTTAAGTGCACGCGCTCTGCTGCGGTGGCCTGGGGTTCGCCAGTTCGGATCCCGGTCGCGCACAGATGCACTGCTTGGCAAGCCATGCTGTGGTGGCGTCCCATATAAAGTAGAGGAAGACAGGCACAGATGTTAGTCCAGGGCCAGTCTTCCTCAGCAAAAAAAGAGGAGGATTGGCAGATGTTAGCACAGGGCTGATCGCCTCACCAAAAAAAAAAAAAAAAATATTCCATGTGATTTACTATATTAATGAATCACAGAAGAATTCAGGGAAGGTGGGTTACAATGAAAGTTTGTGTCAAAAGAAGAAAACAGCAGGGCTCAAGGGACCCAAGTAGGTAGGGAAATAAAGAAAACAAAGTTTGTAAGAATGGCTCTCAAACCCAACTAATCATTAGAATAATCCAGACATCTATTAAAAAAAAAGATTTCAAAGTTCAAAAATTTCAGACCTACTGACTAAGAATATCTCAAGGTAGGGCCCAAAATTTATAATTTTTGAAACTTTCTCCATAAGATTTTATAATCAGCAAGATTTTGGAACCACTAACTTAAAATGCTAACTTGGGTATGTGTAGTCAATGGTATGATCTATTTGCCGTAAGCACAATTATGATGCTATACACAATAAATGATGAAATTATTCTTCTTACCTTAGATACATTGCTGACATAATTCATTTGAATAGTACTTTCCTTATCAACTTGATTACAAAGGTTCTGTAAAGTAGATGCATATTCTTTATCACTTTTTATTCTCAGGGCCATAAATTTCTTCACTGTTTCCAGTAACCGTAATTCCCAGTCTTGCAGTTTTAACACAGCTTCATGTGAATTCTTCAGGTCACTCCCAAACCCCATTTTTGTAAGGCACTGTCTTATCCTCCACGCTGCACAAGTGAGCCTTCTAATCAGCACATATCTGTGTAAGTAAACAGAAGAAAAAAATCTTAAATCAAAAGAAAATTCGTCTTCAAAGCAAAGTTACGACTCTTTCTTTTTAGGGGAAAAAAAAATCACTACAATTGAATGTTTTTACCCAAAGATCAGGAACAAAATGAGGATGTCCACTTTTACCACTTCTATTCAACAGTATGCTGGAGGTTCTAACCAGTGTAATTATTTTAAAAATTAAAAAACCAATTTCCATAGAAATTGGAAAGGAAGAAGTAAAACTATTTGCAGATGACGTGACATTGCATACAGAAAATCCTAAGGAATGCAATAAAAAAAAGTATTAGAATAAATGAGCTCCGTAAAACTACAGGGTACAAGATCAACATACAAGAATCAATTGTATTTCTATACACTAGCAATGATCAATCCAAAAATGAAATCAGAAAAACAATTCTATTTACAACAGCATCAAAAAGAATTAAATATTTAGGAATAAATTTAACAAAATAAATGCAAACTTAAAACGACAAAACATTGTTGAAAGAAATGAATCAAGACCTAAATAAATGGAAAGACTCATGTTAATGGATCCAAAAGACTTAATATTGTTACAAAAGCAATACTCTCCAACTTGATCTACAGATTTAACTCAATCCATATTAACAACTAAGCTAGTTTTTTTTTTGCAGAAATCGACAAGCTAATCCTAAATTTTATATAGAAATACAAGGGAGCCAAAAAAAAAATCTTGAAAAAGAAGAATAAAGTTGGAGGACTCACACTTCCTGAGTTCAAAACTACTGAAAAGCTACAGCAATCAGGGCAATGTGGAACTGACATACACACAGACACAGAGATCAATGGAATAGAATAGAGGGTTAATCCTCACATTTATAGTTAAACGATTTTCTACAAGTATGCCAAATCTATTCAGTAGGGGGAAAAAAGTCTTTTCAACTAACAGTGCTAGGACAACTGGATTTCTACATGCAAAAGAATGAAGCAGGATGCCTTACTTAGACCATACACAAAAAATTAACACTAAAAGGATCATAGATCTAAATACCAGAGCTAAAACTATAAAACTCTCCAAAGAAAACATAATAGTAAATCTTCATGACCCCGGCTCAGGTAATGGCTTCTTAGATATGACACCAAAAGCACAAGCAACAAAATTAAAATACATAAAATGAATTTCATCAAAATTAAAAACTTCTATACTTCAAAGGCCACCATCAAGAAAGTGAAAAGACCACAGAGTGGGAGAAAATATTTGCAAATCATATATCTGATAAGGGACGTCTATCTGGAATATACAAAGAATTCTTACAACAAAGTAATAAAATGACAAACCAATTAAAAATGGGCAAAGGATCTGAATAGATGTTTCTCCAAATAAGATTTACAAATGTCTGACAAGCACATGAAATGATGTTCAATATCATTAGCCATTAGGAAAATACCAATCAAAACCACGTAAGATACCAAATCACACTACTAGAATATCTACAATCAAAAAGACAGATAATATCAAGTGTTGGCGAATGTGAAGAAATTAGAACCCTCATATACTGCTGGTGGAAATGTGAAATGGGCAGTTCCTCCAAGTCAAACACAGAGTTATCATATGATCCAGAAATTCCACTCTTAGGTATATACCCAAGAGATATGAAAACATATGCCCATACAAAAACTTGTACGTGAATGTTCGAGCAGAATTATTCATAATAGTCACAAAGTGAAAACAACCCAAATGTCCATCAACTGATGAACGGAAAAATAAAACATAAAACATCCATACAATGAAATATTATTTGGCAATGAAAGGGAATAAGTATTGATATAAGCTACAACATGGATGAACCTTGTAAACATTATGCTAAGTGAAAGAAGCCAGACACACAAGATTGACATATTGTGTGATTTGTTCATAGGAAATGTCCAAAATCTGCAAAGACAGAAAGTAGATTAGTAGTTGCCTAGGGCTGGCAAATTTGGGAAGAAATGAGGAGTGACTGCTAATAGGTACTGGATTTCATTTTCGGGTGATGAAAATATTCTAAAATTGATTGTGCTGATGGTTGCACAACTCCGTGAACAGAATAAAAACCATTGACTTGTACAGTTTAAATGGGTGAATTCTTCAGCATGGGAGTTATATCTCAATACAGTTGTTTAAACAATCACTACAGCATAACTTATGATCATCTAAAGGTCAGTTATCAGAAACTTCTCCAAAATATCCTGCTCGTTTGCTATAAATCCCAAAAACTAGGATAGAATTTATTTTGCTCTCCATTCTCCTAGAATTTCAGGCAGTGAATCTTTCAGGGCCAGTTAGAAGAAATGAAGAAACACACCTTTTATTTTTCGTTCTGGCTCATCCATAACAGAAGCCAATTTCTTGTTAATTCAGCTGAGATCCTCTATTTATACAGAAAAATGAAAAGAGGTTTATCTTTCTAACATCAGTGATACCATCTAAAGAGAAGGTAAAAATGTGGGTCTTCCAAATAGAGTACAAATTACAATTTTTCCCCAACTGAAAAATTGTCCAGTTTTATGATCTATCAAGTCAGTAGAGAGGGAAAAAAGGTTGTGGAAAACTGCACTTCATCTAAGTGTCCAAAGTAGCAACCAGGACACTAAATGGACCTGAACATAAGTAAGTCATAACAAAGTAATTGACTTATTCACTTTAATATCCATGGGACAATTCCAGTTTTTTCACTTTCTATGTAGTAGCTTTAAAAAATTTACTTTGACATGCTGTAACTTCATGGGGCACATAAATTTACAATGAAACTTTTCCTGTTATTTTACCTATAGCTCAATTAAGTCTCAGTGAAGATATACTCTATCTCATTGCATGTTTCCAATGGAAGAACAAGAAATATTTTTTGAAGCCAAAGAAAGGTGAAACATTTTATTTTTTTTTTTAACTATATCTGAGATTATGGTTCCTTTTTATTCTGTAACTTGGGATAAATATCACTTCTGCTTCTAAATACATCGAGCTCTGGTCTAAGCTTTGACAATATTTTTTTCTTCTATTATTAGGAACTTCAAAACGATTATGAAGAGCTCATAAGAATAAAAAGGGAAACAGAATCTGGCAGCCTTCTGAGAAACAATCCAGTGCACCCTAAGGGCTTATTTATATACCTCAATATTCTAGACAGAGTGAATATAAAATAATTTAATACATGGTACCACTCCTTAAGGGATGACAAAATAATAAAAATTTTAAAAACTCAACTCTATAATAAATTAAGACTATGTCCACTTGTTAAATTGGTAGAGATTATAAATACCTTAGGAATTAAGGAAATGATATTCCACAGATAATTTTCCCATAGATGTTAAATGACATATATAAAACTATTCATTTCAGTAGTGTTTGAAATAACAACAACAAAAATCTGGAAATATCAATCAAAAGGAACTGACTAGGTAAATTATAATGAAGCCTGCTGCATTTGATTGTAAATGAATAATTCTAGGGATTCTCATTCAAATCATAGTCTATGTGAATTTGTTCAGTGTCCAACCTTCACATCTACATGTAGTAGACCTGATCGTGGTATATTCTTTTAGTGGAATATCATTCAGCCCTAATAAAAAATGAGAAAACTTTTTGCGTATTGATCTGGAACCATAATTAAGAATTATTAATTTAAAAAAGACACAGAATTTGGTATGCTTACATTGTACAAAAAGGAGGAAGAATAGGGGCCAGCCTGGTAACATAGTGGTTAAGTTCACACGTTCTGCTTCAGCAGCCCGGGGTTCGCAGGTTCAGATCCTGGGTGCAGACCTAGGTACTGCTTATCAAGCCATGCTGTGGCAGGCATCCCACATATAATAAAGTAGAGGAAGATGGGCATGGATGTTAGCCCAGTGTCAATTTCCTCAGCAAAAAGAGGAAGACTGGTGACAGATGTTAGCTCAGCGTTAATCTTCCTCACAAAAAAAAAGGGAGGAAGAACAATAGAAATTAATTTTGCTTGTAAGTTTGCTTGTAAGCGCATAAAATATTTCTAGAAGAACACAGTGGCTGGAGCACAGGTATGAGAGGGAGGCTTTTCAGTGTATATCCTTTTGTAAAATTTGAATTTTCTTCTAAGTGAATGTATTGATATCATCTATTCAAAAAATAAATTAATAAAAGAAGTTTTGAAGAGAAAAAGAAAAAATTAATGAAAGATGGACTACTCCAGAAAAGTTTCCTAGAAATGGCAAGATATGAGCTATGGCCAGAATAATGACCATGATTTAGATTATAAAAAGTCAAAAGGGAAATGTATTTCAGGAAGTAGGAGAAGTACGGAGCAAAAAAAGTGAATAAAATGTGATGTAAAGAAAGAAATGTCTCTAAAATCAGGCTACACATGGCAAGTAGTAGAAGATGACATGCCAGTTTATCTCCTGCTCTTCCACTGTTTAGGAAACTAAGACGACACAAACTCCTCGAATTAATTGGTTTTTAAGGCAAAATAACAAAGTCATGAACATGATTTTTAAAATGACTAATTTGCCTGGGCTAGTTACACAAGTATGTTCACTTTGTGAAATTTCATCTAGTTGAGCACCCATGATTTGTGCACTTTTCAATATGCATGTTATAGTTCAATAAAAAGAGAGAGGGGGAGAGATCTTAATCTGGCAGCTAGGCATAGAATAGCTTGAAGAGAGAAAAAATATACAATGTGACATAAGAAGGGAAATTAATAAGTCATTATAGCAATATAGCTTGAGAAATAAGGATCTATAATTGAAAATGTCAGTGAGAATTAAGATGAAAGAGCCTTGGCCTGGTGAATGGATTTAGGGAACAAGAGAGAGACAGATGACCCATTGACAACTTTAAGGTTTTAATAGGAAAGAATGATGATAATATCAATAGAAATGGAAAATAAGAATATGGAGCTACTTTAAGGAAAATACATTCATCTTAGTAAGAAATAAATGCTTAGGTAAAATATTAAGGATAAAGATACAAACTGGAGAGTTAACTACTTAAAG